GCACGGAGAAAATGTCTATTTTTACACATTTTCAAAGATTTAAGACAGATAGTAAAAAAAGTTCTAAAATTATGAAAATGCCAGTATTTGTAAGAAATTATATGTAGATTTAGAATATACACAGCTTTTTAAATTTAGATGCCTTGTTTTTGTGAGAAAATTAATTTTTTGAACCCTTGTTTTAGAGCTATTTTTTATAATGGTTAAAACTTCCCCTATAACTAATACTGAACTTGTAAGACCACAATGGCCTATATTTTCTTATTCCACGCCTTTTAATTAGTAAATAGCAGCAGGTCCATCAAAATCAGTGACCTGACAAAAATCGACAAATTTTATGACCAAACCAATTATTGGTTATTTTTACATGTTTTCAGACATCTAAGAAAAAGAGTAAACATAGTCCTAAGTAAGTAACATTTACTCAAAAATAAACTAGATCCAAAAAGACAGACAGTATTTATTTTGGTAGGGTATTTTTCTAAAAACTTTTTAATTGGCCTTTAAATTACGACGCCTTTATCTACATACTTTAGTTTGTTTTATAAGAAATATATTTTACTTATAAGAAAGTTTGCTGTCGTATTTTACCAGCCAGACTGATATACGGATCAATTAACTTTTCTACGTGTGGTTCAGAACCTTACAACTTCGAGATGAATATCTTAAATACGCTGAAACTTTCGAACGCCGGCAAAATTCACACTCCCATTTTGAATCTACGGTTATTGATTTTAAAATATTGCCTTTCCCTCGGCTTTTAGCGATTTTTTTCCAAATGTAGTTACGTCCCTGAGGTGGCAACTCGTCAAAAATTTATAACGATTAATAAATTATAAGATAAAAAGCACCATTTCCATTTTCTTTCATTTTAGCGTTATGCTTAAAATAAAGGAAAAGTATCATATAAATTGCAGGATATATTTACCAAAAAAATTGTACATATAGAAGTTTTTTATTATTTTTGAGGCATATATAAAAAACGTATAAATAGGTAAAATATGAAATATGAAAGTAAACTTCCTCCGAAACAAAGCGTTTATAAATAAATATAGCTGTTATATATGTGAAAATTTGGAAAGATACATTTTGACACTCTTTAGACACAATGTTTGGATAATTAATAATAAGAGGCTCTTTTGCCTGAAACACTGCGACCTGTAAGGCCTATTGTGTTTGTTTCTTTTATGTCTGCATTCTTCTATGCTTGTGTAGGTCCTTGATAGGATGGAAGCATGGTTCTTCCGGTTATGGCCTTGCTTTCAGTAGCAGAAAGTGTCGCTTGGGATCCAGAGCCTCGCATTGACCCATTATGTGCTCAGCTATTTCAGGACTTTATAGCAGGTCTGCATCAAAGACCTCCTTAATACAGCTTGGGCTTGTTCAGGTAGTACCTAACAGCCATATATCCTGTCAAGAGACCTATTATATCAGCACTTATTTCCTGCTAAGCATTAGAGGGTGCTTGGTGGTTTTACAACCTTGGATAAAGGCCTTGTTATGCCTGTCCCCCTGTCTGTTTCTCCAGTTGACATTCTGTTTTTTCCTAATCCAGAGTCTTACTGCATTACGGGTTATACATTTAAGTATTCCCATTGCTAGTTCTGGACCAAGATAGGATTGATCGTTGCAGATGATCCTTACTTTGCTAATGTTTCAGCCTTGGGTAGTAATAATTTAATTCTCTTCCGTTCTTCCAGAGGTCCCAGTTTACCCAGGCATTTCCAGACATGTCTCGATGATACATTTGGGCTCATAAGCGCCTTAAGTGCCGCCTGACTGTCTGAGCATATATTCATTAGCTTACCTAAGTAAGCTCTTCTGTTGTTTTCTCTCGCGCATTGTAGAATGGCGAAGATTTCTGCCTGGAATACGACCTGGAAGCATTGTGTGTGGTATTGATTGCATCTATTGAACCATGTATATAATTATTATTAGTGTATTTTTAAATATTTTTAATGCTAATTAAAAATACGAATGTTTAGAATTTACGCTTCAATCTGTATCCGAACCCAATTAGCTAGGAGTTGAACAAAAGAATTACTGTTGTGCCAAATGAAAACTTTTTGCTTTCCAACTTACCAACTTCAAAATTAATTTTAATTAAGCATTGTCCGAAGTAACTCGCTATTTATTTTTGTTAGTAAACTCCCAAAGGAACATTGCCAATTTTTATTCGTTCGAATAACTTCTGAAATAAATTCTTTAATGGTTTAGTCTTCATTGTCCAGTGGCACGATAACAAGAAAATACGGTCAGAATGGCTGAATGTTTGAACAATATTCCTTTCGCAATTTTAATTATCGCTTCAAATAAGTAGCTGTCAATATTCGTAAATTTATTGCCAGTTGAGTAAGCTCCAAATTTAATTAGAAATTATAAATAATTATTATGGAAATGAGCGTCGAAAATCGATAGAATAAACTTAAAACAGTAAACCGGTATTCTGGCATATTATATCCAATTCAGGACAACTTAAGCCATTTCCTGTTGTTAAATTTATGTATTAATCTATTCCAAAAATAAATAATTAATATTGCATTTTGAATTAGGTAATAGTGAATTTAACTGAAGTGCATTTAAGATGATAATGCTTAAATTATTTTCGAGACTATAATATTAAAGTAAATACCAATAATTTAATAACCCTTGTTATAGGTAATTAGTTTGTAGGTGTACTTGATTTTATATTAAACGTTTACGTGGTATAAAACTTTATTTTCAGATTTACGTAAGATTATAATCATACCAGCCTATATAATTATCATGATGAATACATATATCATACGAACAGGAAAAAAACGGCCTCAGCGATAGCTATGAAATGAAGATCGCTGTCATTTTATATGTAAAGTTATATGGGAAATATCGTGAATGTTCATTTCCAAGCAAAAAATAACCTAAATTACTCCAAGTTTTAAGATCTTAAATCATTTACACTTTATGTGAAATTGACTGAAGAATTAAATAATTTTGGTTTTAAAAATGACTTAAGACTTAAGATTTAAGTCTTGTCAAACTCACTTGTTGCAGTTCGGCAAGTAAATAATAGAAACATGTTTCAGAGCTCCGTACTAATTTTCTCTAGATATTTTCATGTACAAAACAGTATTCAGGGCTGGCAAATACAATTATTTCTACTACAAAATGATCGATTCCTTTCACAATAACAATTTCGGCTTAAACGGGCACTGCAAAGGCAACGATCAGCGTTATTTGTCTGTTAAAAAATGTGCGCTCTTCAAAAAGTTCCATACATTTTTATGCTTCGCGTTCAATTATCCCAACTTGGGAAATTCTCTCCTTTTACGCTGTGTAAAGGAATTCGATCTGCCGATCATACGTTTCAATAAGGGCTGAAAATAACAATCTGAAAGCTATTTGCTACGATAACAAATTAATTGAATAAAAATATTTCATTCAGACAGGATGTAAAAAAACTGTGTTCCAAACTTCGCTGGGTGGATACTACAAATAGGAGAAAAATGAAAAACTATGAACATATTATGCCCTAAGATGTTTCCTGAAAAAGTTACAGATTTTACTGCCTATGCAATAAAATTTTTAGTTATGGTTTAGCAGGTCATCTGGTATGTAACTACATCGTTAATGGTTTCAATAAACTTTATTTAAATTTCTGCTAGTTACCTAAAAATCTTTTAACCGGGAGAAGTGTCCACTCAAGAGCTTGGGAAACAGGGAAATTAAGATAGATTAAATAAAAGATGTATGACCTCGCTGTAGTATTGAGCAATAAAAAAGATTGGAAGAGAGAAACGTTTACTCGGCTGGTAAAAGACCATACCATAACATGGTATACTGATACTTTGAAAACCAAAGCAGGAACAGGAATAGGAGTATTTGGCCCAAAAAACTACATACTCCGAACCAATGGGAACTTCCTAGCATCCTTCAGTAGCATCAGATACGTACAACTCATCTTATCCGATAGTCAAGCAACCTTAAAAGCGATCAGCTCAGTAACCATCAATTCGAAGTTAGCCAAAGAATTCTTCGAGAAGCTGAACAAATTAGACAAAGAAAAGATGGTCCTCCTACTCTGGGGCCAGCCCACCAAGGGATAGAGGGTAATGAAAAAGCAAACGATCTACCTGGAAAAGGCGCAAACACTCCACTAACTGGACTAAAACCATTCTGCTTACCAAGTGGAAACTAAGTTCAAGCAGAACTCAAGGACCTAAAAGACTCCATCCGTAACATGGACTGGGAATCCTCCAACGGTCTAACACACTCGAAGAAATTTCTCAGGATTTACGACCGAGAAAAATCAAAGATTTGCCTTCATTTAAGTAAGAACAATCTTCAGTTGTCACGGGAGTTTTAACAGGACACTGTCTCCTCAATTAACACCTCAGTAGATTGAAGCTCAGAAACAATGGCAAGTGCAGATTCTGTTGGGAAAATAGGGAAACACCAGAACCACTTCATCACTGAAGCTCTGCCACTGTATGTTGAGGTATAACTCCCACGAAAGGGGTAACCATAGATCTATAATGTCGCGGAGATTAACTGACCCTCTTCCATACAATCTACAATAAATATGTGTATCAATAATCATATTTATATAGGTAAAAAATATGTATTGCATAACGTAGAAATTAAAAACGTGTAACACACACCCATCGCTGCGAATAAAACAATTCGATCTGCTTATCGTCCGTTTTAAATCGGTTCCAATCGCACAAACACATTAAAATATCGGAGCAGCATTTTTGCAGATTTATTCAAAATTAGCCCGTTGCGATCTCCATTGCGAAGCCATTATGGCATCGAATTTTTGTGAAAAGCGTGCCAATGGAAAAAAGTTACGTACATCATACGACCATTTAATGTCATTTTTCCACGCCGATTTTACATCATCCACTTCAATAACCTTAAGTGTTTCGGTGTTCGGTACATTTTTTATTGGAAAGGCATTTTTTCCTTCATTATCGAAATGCCCTAGCTATTTTATTAACATACGGTTTTTCGTATTGCAGAAATTATCGTCGATAGGAGAAGATTTTTGCGGGCTGGACGTAAACACACCACTTGGAGGTGAACAGCCTGTTTCTGCTGTTCCAGTTTTGATGTTCAACACCAGGCTCACGGCTGTTGTTGCTACTTCGACTGGAGATTTCACTGTGGTGTTTATTGGCACCAGCACAGGCCATTTGAAAAAGGTAAGCATTTTTTATGTAACAAAAATTTATGAGATTCATAAAGAAAGTAAAAGTATACGCCACTGGGATTATTTATGTTCTTTTCTTTGTTTAAACAGTATTCAAACATTAATTTGGTTAAGTAAAAAATTCATAATTTAATTTTTTGACGTGTAAAAGTAATGAAGGAAAAAATAATTTCCAGAAAAAAATAAACATCAAAATGAATAAACGTTCCTTTTTAGACAATAATTTGAGCTAATAAACGCGGCAAAAAAAGGAAACAAAATGGTCTTTAAACGAAATTAAGGCCTAATTCGTTTAACCTCGAGGCCTAATAAAGCAAGAAATGTGTATTTTCTTAAAAATTATTTTAAAACGAATTATTATCATTCTGGAAAATAAAGCCATAACGCCACAACCGATAAAAACTGATAATATGTAATCACATTAAACGTAAAAAGAATCGTTTGACATTAAAAAATAAGCCAAAGTTAATTAAAAAAAAGTTTCATGTGTTTTATTTCTTCACCTGACATCTATTTTAAATGAAGATATGAACTTTAAGAGCTTTTCCTTTATTTTTTTTTTAATTCATAATTTTAGTTTTTAATAAACTTTCTGGGGGTCAAATAAAATCAATCTCCTGTTTTTTTTTCTGTCCAATTTCTTTACATCATGATAAAATTATATGATGCTTGAAAAAAAACTTTTAACGCCGGTAAAAATTAAGAAGCATCCGCCGTATATTTTATATTTTCTTTCCATTTTATTTGTACATTTCCTGATTTCACGTAGGTTGTCCAGAATTGTCGAATTTACTCATCCTTTCTGAGTATTATTACGTTTAAAGTTAAATTTGAAATGGCAAACCTCTCAATGGATTTTGCTGACAGCATTGCTAGGGTGAATTTTCAAGGCAGTATTCATAAAGTTTGCATTGTTGGCTAAAATTGTTTTCCATTGTAGGAATCGCAAAATTTTCCTTCTTTTCAGCTGTCTTAATTTTAAATTTTCCAGTAATGTGAAATCTGCGTACATGGGGAGGATCTACGTGATGCACATACAAATTCAAATTTGTTTGGGATGAAGTAAGAATAAAATTAAGTATCGTCGGTATCTTCTTGTTAATGTGCATTGTGTTTTAAAATGTTTTCATTTCCCACAACTTAAAATTCAGAATATGTTAAATATTAAACTTGGATCCATATGTTTTGTGCCTCAGAATCAGAATACCATGTGTTTGAATAAAACCAACGTCACAATAGGCTTAGTAGTATTATTTCAATTTGAACTTGGCTATGTCCAACTCTAAATTATCGTTAATAACTATATTTTCTCATGTTTTAGTTTTCTATTCCAGTGAAGAAATATCTTATAGATATATTCCTGTTACATAATAAAAGTTATCTTACTGCGTGAATATATTATAAAAAAAGATCAAAGGGGCTTTAAGAATAATACATTATCTCCAGGAAAAAAAACCTTATAATTTTTGTATTCTAAAAACAAAAGTTATATAAAGCTCTAATGATATACACTCCCACATATGTACATGAAAGAACGTACATATACAGAGCCGCATTTGCTTTATTGGTATCCCCGGGCAGAAAATTTTATACCTCCTACTTCAGACAAGAAATAAAATATTGAAATCGTTCTTTGTAATAAAACTGATTTCAGAGATATTCGCTTTTTTTTTCTTCATCTTGAATTTGCATTTATGATGCAACAATAGAATAAGAAGTAGGAATTAGTATTAGCTTAGTATTTACTTTAATATTTAATATTACAACACCAAAATATTACTAGGTTATGACAATTAATTTTGCTCTTGGTCATCCTCTACGAATGATACTAACATGTTGAAGGAAACATGAGTCCGAAGTTTAAAATTAAGGGTTTTTGATTGAATGAATTTTTTAGATATTCCCCTTTCTTGAGTTATAACGAGTTATACAGAGGCCAGCTCTCCTCCTCGACATCAGCCGTACCAAAGTTCATTCAAGCACGAATGGTCGTCGTCTCGGCGCACTCAGTGATAAGGTGTTCTGGTGTTTCCCCATTTTCCCCACAGAATCTGCATTCGCCGTTGTTTCTCAGCTTCAGCCTACTGAGGTGTTCGTTGAGGAGACAGTGTCTGTTAGAAACCCCGTGACAATCCGAAGATTGTTTTTACTTAAATCAAAGAAAACCTTTGATTTTTCTCGGTTTAAGTTCTGAGGAACTTTTACGAGTGTCTTAGACCGTTGGAGGACACCCATTCCAAGTTACGGATGGAGTCTTCCAGATTCTTCGCTTGCAGTTGGTTCCCGTTTGGAAAACAGAACGGTTCTGGTCCCGTAGATATTTTATTCATTATTAAAATATTAACTGTGTATAAATTTAATAACCTACTTTTTAGTTTACTGTGAGTCATTACTAGACTTATCCAAATTGCCATTGTTATCGGGGTTTAAATATAAATAAATCATTAAAATGATAAAAAAAGAAACAATTCTAAACCAACATCCCAATCAAGGCGATGACCCCTTTTATTTACCCCAAATAAAATATCAGACTATAATTTAAAAGCAATTATTATTATCTGTATTTACTCTAAACACTAAATAAATATCTATGACTTTGGTTTGCTTTGAAAAGATATGTTTGTTCATGGAATACAACTATTAAGAGTATAAAGAGATACATAATCTATAGAGCATATGTTTTTCTGAAAATGTTTTGTTGATGAAAAAGTCCATTGTATTTCATTATTTTTTAATTGGTGTAAAAATATCCTTAATAATGTTTTAGAATGTATTTATTGGTATATTTTCTCTATTTATTGAAAACATTTAACATAGGTACTACAGTCTACTATAAAATCAAAAGTTACTATTTTAAATGAGCTTAAAAAAGCCTATATAGAAGCCTTTGAAGATAACAAGGAGAATTTCAGTGAAAATGGGGTATATTTTTGAAGAGAAACTTTGCTATTGGCAGAGGGTTATCGGGTGTATTAATGGCCCAACTGGAGACAAGCAAAGACAGGCGTTGGGACGATGTTGCAAATCCTCTGTCTGAGGGTGAAATCCAGTAGGCGCACACGTTCCGAGATATCACACAGAGCCGGCTAATTATCAAAGTATCAATTGCTTCCAGTCGAAATCCCTTCGCTCTTGACGTATCGATAGGACAATGATAAAGAGCCATGCCAAACCCCACACTCTGATCGAACACGACCAACACCAACTTAAAAACGAAGGCCTAAGCTCACCTTCGTCACGTCATCCTAGTAGTCATATATTTACAAGTGGATATAAGTACGAATTTAATGGTTAATGTGTAAAGTGGAGGAAGCTGTAACTATTAAAACATATTATTCTTCTACTTAAAAACGTCAAACACCATTACCTTGGATCCCTTATAAGAAACAAGGGAGGCTGTCACAAGGAAATCAAACGCAGACTACCTAGCATTTTTTTATTATTATTTTATTTAATTTACTGTTGCGATATTTTTTATTTTAGTCGAGTAATATTTTCTATGCAAATTTATCATATCGTATTCCCATTTAGGTGCAATTTCATTATCAATAAATGACAATTTGTTTCTTAAATTAGTGCCCTTTATGAGGAATATAAGGATTTTTTACTTTTCTATCATGCTTGTAATTGATGTAATTCGTCCATGTAATTTTTTTCTAAAAACTCTACCTTGACGAGAAGTAGAACTTTTTTGCTATACTTGAGATAATTTCGAAAATAAGTTGGTAAAACATTTCCTTTATGGAAGCCCTTTGCAAAAGTAACTAATAATCTTACTTGTTTCAGTACCTTGTTTGGTTTCCTTTTAAAAAATGAAGTACACACGTTGCTAACCATTTCTGGCTTAACGAGCCTTTTTTTGAGAGAGAAAAAAAACTTATTGGTCATCCGTTAAGGACACAACATATCTGAAACTTTTTTATTACAAACGCACAATGTAGCTTATTAGGGGCTACATAATCATTAATTTAATGTAAAGACTAAAACAATATCGACAACTGTATTAACTAAAAAATATTTTATGAGAATGGTACTGAAATCCTTGGATAGGACCATCTTTTTAAAATATTTAGCAAAAAAATATGAAATATGTATCAGTATCCTAATAAATAAGACAAATAATACTCTCATTCTAGAGACACAAGTCTATACTTCCACTAGTGATGAACTGACGTCTTGTAGAATCAAAACACCTTAGGCCTAGTACCTAGTACTTAGGAAGTATTTGCCTTATCATCAGATTTTAAGCTTCTTTCTACACTGTGAAGGATTATACGGAGATTCATTAGTAATTAAATGCATAAAAACAAATCCTACAAATCTAGAAGCCTACTAGTGATGACGTAACGTCTCCTCGAATATAAAGGCTCTGGCTTTGTTTTAAGGTGGTGGTGGACCAGCACACCACTTTTAATCAAAGAGGTTTGGATCGTTAGTTTTCACTTTTCGATGTCCAATCGTTGTTTTCTAAACCACCCCTATGGCATTTGCATACTTGGCTTTGTAGTTCTCGTCCTTGATTTCCAGGCTAGTGTCAATTACATCTACCGTTTCATTTATATTTATGATTTTTAGAGGCTACATAGCAGTAGTAGTGAAATTTTCTTTAAAACTGCTCTCTGTTTGATTATTCGTGACTGATATGTTAATGGATAACAAAATTTTATTATAAAGAAGCAACAACATGTTTGACGATGTCAAAATTGAAATTCTAACTGAACATTTTCAACTCCCATTGAGTCTCCCATCCTTTACAATGTAAAACTAAGAGACACACAACTTATCACTATTTCAGTTTATTCCAAGCAATAGCCCCCACATAAAATGCATAGTGTAGCTTGAAAACCAAATAATGATATATTATAACCCAATCTGATTTAGACTTTTAGATGTGTGACAGCGTGTATGAAACTAATATTCCATAGTGCACATTCGTAGAAGCTATTAAATAACTTTGTTTATTTAATTACGGAAATGTCAAGACAACTTCAA